TCATCTTTAGAGAGAAAGAAAAGAGGACACTGTACCGCACAGCAATTAAAATCTGAACAGCTGGAGGAATAAAAGGAAAATTCAAGGCAGGCCTGCAGAAAGAGAGAAAACAAAACAAGAAAAAAACTAACACAAAAATTCAAACACACAGGAAATATCTGATGCACTAGTCCTATTAATAGCATAAAACTTGCTGGCAGATACTATCACCCAGCATTTTATTAATTAACTGGAGATACACGGATACAAGAGGTTTGAAAGTACAAAGAACGAATGGGCTGCACAAACTGGCTCTTTGCAAAGAACACAGTGTGCTTCGTACAAGGATACAGTGTCTAAATTAGCCAGCAGCGCTTTTTGGGTCAAAGAAAACCTCTAGTTAAACCAATGGTAGAGTCCCCACCGCCACTCATTCACTTTTTCTTTGCATAGGTCTATGATTTTCCATGCAATGCTTAAAAGCAACCTATCTGAAAGGCTTTTATAAAGAAAGACCATGAAACTTAGTGCATGTGAGTTTCTAGGAAAGTGAATGACAAACTTTTGTGAAAATGGATTTTCAAGATATCAACTTGGATTTCTGTTTAATTTTTAACCCACCAGTGCATTATTCCCAAACACTATTTCTTCATGTAGAAGCATTTAAATCATTTTATTTCCCCTCACAAAAGGCTCTATGAACCTAACAAATAAACCAATGTTGACATACCTAATCCTAGCGATTTATTGCACATTGGGGATTCTCTCTTCTGGAGACTTGTTCACAAATACTCAAACAGGCTCTGCGTCTTTGGCAAGATCCATGCATTACAATTTTTTGTAACAGGGTTTCCACCTCTCTTATTGCCAGGGCTTATGCATCGCTATGTTACTCACCATTTTCTGTAATTTCCTTAAGAAAATACTGTAATTCAGAAAAATACCAGGCAACAGCAATAGGTTGTCAGTTTAAATTGTAAATAACGGTTGACTTTGTTCTCATTTTTATTTTCAAAGCACCCTTTTGTAATACGACATTGCCTGCAATGTCTGGTTAAAGGATTTAATTTTGTTCAATAGAGACAAGAATTGGAAGTTGGAAGCTTTTAGAAAGAAATTGGCATTCATAGACTGTGGGAAGCTCTGCAAATCCTGTGTATTTATAGATACATTTTTTTCTAGATGGAGAAGAACAAATAAATTATAACAAACAATTTATTCAACACATATTGCTGTTTGTTCTTTCCCAGAATGTGAAAACCATAAGAAATTCATGAACAAATCTATTAATTATTTGAATAAATCCAATTACATGCATTCTACAGTTCATTGTTCCAACTGCTCTGCTTTGCAAGGAACAGACAAGACTATATACAGGATACACTTGGTTTTTTCATTAGAAGCAATCAGTCTTGAGTCAGCGAAGTTCAACATTTACCTTCTGTTTCAGTGGGACTATTCCTAAACGTTAAGCATGTGCTAAAAGGGTTTTTCTTCCCAAAAAAGGCAGCTTCAGTAAGTTAAGTACATGCTGGCCCCACTAATGAATCACTGTTGTAGCAAGGTCTCTTGTCCAATAGCTTCAAGGTAAAAAATGCACCATTTCTTTTCCACTACTGAAGAAACCTTTCACTCTGCTAAGGAATGCTTTGCAGAACAAAGAACATCGAAGGCTGCAGGTGCAGTCAGAAAAATCACTTACCACATATAGCAAATATTTAGGGAAAACACGCTGTTAGCATTTGCCCAGTATTAACTGCAGCAGTGTATAAACCCTTCACACGAACAGTATGTGTGTTATAAAATTCATGGATTTTAGAGTAGTTGAGTCCCACATTAAAAAAAAAAAAGTCTGCAGCTACCCATCCGGCCCACATTAGTGAAACAAGATGTAACTTTCAAAGTAACCAGAGTTTCTCACAGTGTTATCAGAATTTTGGGGGGGAGGGCAGGAAATCAGGTCTCAGGATCCATAGGTTTTTGCCGAAAATGTTCTTGGTGGCAAAATTTGTAAATATGTTTCCTTCTGCTTTCCACTCCACGGCAGGTATGATAAAGACCCTGAGTTTTAGTATTTTTGCTTTCACTGCAAAAATATTCTTAGTGTGGAAATATAGCTCTACACTCTCTTTCCCATGCCCTCAATCACGGAGGACTAGCCAGGTGCCTAAAGTTAAATGTTTATTGGAGGAATGGCCTGATGTTCTACAGAAATAGACAGCATAAACAGGGGCTCCAAAAGTTGCAAGCCTAATTCTGCTCCTGCTGAAATAAGTTTTGGAAAATTCAATCTTAGACCATTACATAGGTCCTTTCATCCCAGGTGTTGCAGGTTTCCTCTGGCACTGTCCCATACTGATTATAGGCCAACTTTAGTGCAGTCTACTGCCAGAACAGGCAGTTCCACCATTCTACCTGAAAGCTTTTTCCTTTCATCTATTTGTTTTTTGAGCTGGAAAGGGATTAGTTTTCAGGCAGATTAGTCCTCGATCCAGCTCACCAGATGGCTACACAAACAAGGGTGGCAGTGCAAGGAAGAGAGTGGGAAGGTGCAGCCAGAGGTGGCGAAGGATTTTCAGAGCCAGCTTGCACTTAAGTTGGCTTAACATGCTTGCAAAACCCTTAGTTTCTTCTTAGGTTTCTCTGCACCACAATAGCTAAGGGATCATCCAGATTTTGCCCAGCTAAAACCCTTCTTAGTTCTAGAGAACAGTATTATTACTGTCCAACAAACATCAGGCATAATGATATATATACCCTCCACACTACAGTTTCTGTGCCAGCAGACCAGCCTTTCAAACCTCAAACCTGAAGGACATTTGAGTGATCTGATAATTTCATTCTTTAGCTTCTAGTGAAAAGCTTCATATCTTCATCAGGGGTCAGCTGCAATGAGATGACATCTCTCCACTAATTTGGGACCATTTAATCCCAATTTAATCTGACTTTCATCACGAGACTTGAACCCATACTTTTTCTTGTTTGTTTTGATCACGATCATTCCTACACCTTTTCTTCCGAAAAAAGGCAGCTTCAGTAAGTTAAGTACATGCTGGCCCCACTAATGAATCACTGTTGTAGCAAGGTCTCTTGTCCAATAGCTTCAAGGTAAAAAATGCACCATTTCTTTTCCACTGCTGAAGAAGCCTTTCACTCTGCTATACTTCCTCCACTCCTACACCTTTTTCCAGTCTTGTATAATCATAGCAATGTAGGTAGGTATGAGGAATCAATCAGGTGGCATGACAAAGGTAAGTGGTAGCCAATTTCTTTTTTTCTGAGGGTCTTCCAGCAAAACCTGAATTAATCAGAACATGTAAGGACTGGAATTCCACAGCTACAATCCATTAATCAGAATACCATTAAAAGACCACTTGATAGCTGTCTTGTTAGGACCACATGAGGCAGCTGCCTGTAGCAAGGAAGTGGAATGCATGATCCCAAAAGTCCACTCTAGTTTTGTGTTCCAGTGTTTGCAAACACTGTTTTACCAGGGGAAGGAAGAAAGTCCTTGAACATCAGTTAAAGGTTCCTTGGTTTTGAACAAAACATTAGTCACAGGCTCAGGTGGGCGAGTAGAAGGTAGGATCAAGTATACCCTGTCACGTGTCTACACCTCAGCTGATGGTATGGACTTTCACTTACAGTCAACTGGAGAAAAGTAGGTGACATTAGGACAAGATTTGTATCATCTTAGGATCAATTTCTTAATAGGTCAAATGACTCATGCCTAGAAGTGCCTGTTTCTTTTGAACAAAGAGTTAAACATGAACTATAAGAGAACGAAACTAAGCATTGTCCTCTCTGGTTAGGACAGCTCCCTCTTCCTTTCACAGTCTGTCTTAAAGTATACATAAATGTTTCACTATAATGAAAACAGCATCATAGTGACCTCAGCTGCCCAAATATACACAGCCTCCTTTAGAGGTGAGTCTTCACCAGCATTTTCTGCTGATGCAATTCAGTTTTGCCTGTAATAACTTGAACTATCCACTAGGACAGAAAGCAAGGAGAGAAAACTACTCTAGCCAGGTTCATATTCCCTCTGGTAAAGAGCTGGAGTTGGGCCTTCCACCCACTGCATGTGCACTGTAGCCTCACAGCTAGTAAGTCAAGAGAACAATGGTGTCACCACTGCCATTTATCTAATCACGTTTTGATTTTATTTTCATTCATTTTTTTCTGGAGCAACATATGAGGAAATCTGAAATGAAATTGCTAGTAATTTCAGGATGATTTAAACTACTTTTTAGTTTCCACACCAAAACACCAGTAGTAATGATTGCCTATCACCAAATATGAGAGTTAAACCCTTTTTTAAACAGCATGTGAGAGTCTTTAAACACAGTATTGTTTACTAGCAGACCCATATGTTAGCATATGTGAGAATACAAGTCTTCATCATCATGAACTGTGCTTTGTCACTTCCTATTGCATACCTCCAAATTACAAAAATTTTGTCAAAAACGTATCTCAAAGAAGGCATCAGATTCCTTTTATGAATATGTCAGCGTTATAAATTCTTAGTAAATTGTTAGTCAGTAGGGTGCTTGCATGATTAAAACCTTCTGGGCTTTGGAAGGCATTTTGTGTGCAGGAATTTGTCAAATCCTGTTCAGTTCACTATTGGGAGCACTTAAACGACAAATAATGTTACATAAAATCTGGCCACTGTAGATGCATTTCTGCTGTTTTAATGAGTCTCTCTCACTTTCAGACAACAAAATCATCACCATCCAGAAGGTAAGCAAACAATTAAATGCATGATACCTATTATGCCTATCCATTTAATGGCCATCTTTTGCTAAAGTATATTCCCTAAAAGTACACTGGTAGGTAGTATAGGTAGTACAAGCTGGCTTATATTTTGGTAAAGCTACATATTTTTTCAAGGGGAGGGAGACAGAAAGGGAGAGTTTCTAGCCATTTAAATAGTAACAGACGTTGAGGAAATTGGGAGAGATCACCAGGACAGAAATTGCATCATAAAGTCAGAATGAGCCAACCACATGATCACGTACCTTACGTTTGTTTGTTGGACAAACATACAAGTAGCTCAAAATAGTCTTCAGACCAACTTTATCATTCAGTTTCTCATATGTTGTCCCATAATCTGTTGACCTACAATTCAGAGAGATTTCATAAGTACAAACACTTAATCACAAAACCACAAGGCACTTGGTGGCTTTTCAATATAAGTCATGCTTTACATAGCGGAATGGCTCTCTAGAGCTTTTTGAATGATTCATGTAGTACATAATGATACTTAATTATATACACACAGCATCATGTGAGTGCTTGTAATTTGCATTTAAATTAGATTAGGAAAAATTAAACCAGCATCTTCCCAAAGCATTTTAAAATAAACATGTACAATAAAAAATGCTAAATTCTGCATATAGAAGATGATAATGATTGTCAGAAATGCCAAATAGCAGACAGCAAGAGACTAAAGTTATCAATTCATTGTATACTACAAGCTTAGACTAATTTTGTTAATATAAGAGTCTTTTCTCAGCATATTCCAAAGTAGCTGCTCCAGCTGATTGTTCAGTGAAACTGGAGTTCAGTTTTCTGCAAAAAACATTGATGTCCTTTTGAAAGCCTAACTACATGAGCATTACACCTACAATTTATATGGGTTTTTCCACATGGACTAGCAGAGAGTATGGACACATAGGCTTTATTCTTGCTTTAAGAGCCACCATTCAGTAGAGAAAATAATATATTTCTGATATGAGGGTTGCCCACAGAGACACTGACTACATGTCTTGGGGAAGAACAAAACAAATAAACAAGGAAGACTGTGCAGAGTTCCTGTAACATCTACTCTTAACATGTGACTGGAACCAAGATCAATTACCAGCAGAGGTTTTGTTCATTATGCAGCTCATGCTTGCCTGAATTATGTCCTAATATGCAGGGGATTTAGATAATCGGCCCAAACCAGTACAGTTGGTATCCACAAACTGCAGAAAAGTGACACGTATCTGGGTAACAGAGACATTTAAAAGTATAACATACTCTTGCAGATAATAAATCTGCATCTTGTCTTTAAAATGTACAAATGGGTCCATATAGAACTTCACTTGCAAGCAGTAACATGAATTTTCCTTTCTGCTAATCACTCCAAAACCAGTCATTCTAAAGTAAACTCTAGGCACCTGTTATTTCCAGGTTCTCTCCTATCTGGGAAACAATGACTAAGTTCACAAAGGTATTTAAGACACTTAATGTCTACAATATTTTTTTTTTCCTCCTTGCTTCTGGGATTTCAGATTTTGCAATCAGTACATGAATAAAACAAGGCAGCAGCTTGGGGTTTTACCCATTAAGATGAATTGCACTAAAATGTGGATTTGCATTAAAGTTGAGTCTTTCTATTCAGGAACTTTATCGAAGTGTTTGCATGTATCTGTCCTGGTCATATAACAATTGACTTATGGTTTACGACCATAGCTTTTTCCTTTCCCTCCTTTCCCCTGTCCTGGTTTCAGCAGGGATAGAGTTAATTTCCTTCTTAGTAGCTGGTACAGTGCTGTGTTTTGGATTTAGGAAGAGAACAAAGTTGATAACACACCGATGTTTTAGTTGTTGCTAGGTAATGCTTACACTAGTCAAGGACTTTTCAGCTTCCTATGCTCTACCGACTGAGAAGGCTGGAGGTGCACAAGAAGCTGGGAGGGGGCACAGCCAAACTGGCCAAAGGGACATTCCATACCATGTGACGTCATGCTCAGTACATAAACTGGGGAAAGCTGGCCGGGGGGGCCGCTGCTCGGGGACTGGCTGGGCATCGGTCTTATTGCTATTATTATTTTATTTCAATTATTAAACTGTTTTTATCTCAACCCACGAGTTTTTCTCACTTCTACTCTTCCAATTCTCTCCCCCATCCCACTGGGGGGGGGGCAGGGAGGAGTGAGCAAGCGGCTGTGTGGTACTCAGTTGCCGACTGAGGTTAAACCACAACACCCCCCAGTAAACATATGCACCCCTGTGCGCATATATGACCTTTGTTGGTTAGAACATTAACGTCAAATTCTCATCTACTGATTGATCTTTTCCTTTATAAGGTCATCTCTCTCAGGAGCACATATAAACTAACTGAGCTATTTTCTCAGTGGACTGAGGAGAAGAATACCGTTACAGTTATTTCTGTTACTATTTCAGAGATGTTCCAGCACCAGCACCCTTCCAGGTGAAGGGAGCCACAGCAGGATGCTGAACACAGCCCTGTCAAGGACTGCTGGGTCACTTTGGTTACCTCGTCTACCTCACCACCCAGCCTTCTTAGAAATTAGTATTTCTGTTGCGGTCTGCCTAACAACCAAAACCTATCCTTTGGGAAGTTTGGGCTGATAAAGATATTTAGTCCTTACGATCTTTACATCTGACCTGCTGAGTTAGGAAAAAAATATATTAATGAAGTAATGCAGCTCTTCTTTATACCAGTGACAGTGATTTCAAAATGGGACCCTTCAAAAGGGGATAGGGGTGAAGAAAATCTGACACATAAAACCTGCTTTGAAATTGTTAAAGAAAAGCAGCCAGTACTTCCTTGCCAGCCATTTCTTACTTCAAATCTCTAGGCAATTATTTTGCATTCATAGCTTTATTTACAGGTAACGTTATATCCAGATGGAAGCGTGTGCTTCTGTCAACATCTATAAAAGCAACTGAAAGATTGGAAAGCTTAGAAAAACATTCATTTTTTGCAGATGAACAAATACACAAGCAATCAAAGGAGCTACTATTAGATCTTACTCTCATTATCATGTTCTAAACTAGCGATAGCCAGTCCTTCTACCTGCCCAGTTACAAGTTGTTGTTTCTCTTACACCACTTTACAATTACCCATAATTTTAACAGGGAGGTAGATGTTACACAACAGCAGATAGGCACCTAGAAGTGCTTTAACACAAAGAAATGGTGATAGATACACATATACAGAGCAGTGGAACAAAATAATTGTATCGAACGAAATACTGCGCACACATGAAGCCTCTGTTGGAATCTAACCCAGGGGTATCATCAACCTGCATTTATCTTATTCCTATTTTATATATATGTATAAAAGCAGGCATTGATTAGCAGCCTGGATAACGAGCTCTTCATTTGTCTTATTAAATGGGTGTATAAAGCAGCATGAGACTCCTAACCCATGAAAACATATCAGCCATTTGGTGATCCAGGAAGCCAGCCTAACCTGGAAGTGTTGCAAAAGACAGATGCACCTCAGCAGGGTGTAGGCAGTAACGACAGTGTAGGATCAACAAATTCAATCCCAGTTATCTGAAGGGGAACGGATATGTATCAACCAATGTCTCCCACACTTCGTGTGGTAGGCTGCTTCTCTGAAGCTCTGCAGAGAGAACTCAGTTTTAGCGCATCTGTGTAACATGAGCAGAGCAAGCAAATGCCTGGATAAATCATCTGAAAGGACTAAACCCAGGACCTGTAGAGCTGAAAACACAAAAATGAAACTCTGAACCATCTGCTGAAAAGCCACAGCTACTGAAATAACTATATGTAAATGAGTGAACAGTAAGCCCTATTTTATTAGCTCTTGTGTAGACATGCATGTTGTAATGGTTTCTCAACTTGTTTGGAGGGAGGGGCGTTGTTTATACATGTTTCATCAAATTAATTTAAATCCCTGTGTAAATTGTTTCATTTTGGCTTGATTTGGCTTGGTACAGTTACAGGTTAAGTCAAAATAAATGCAGATGAGTTTAAAATAGGAAAGTCTGCAGAGAGATTTCATATATGTGTAAGTCTAGCTAAATATGGAAAAAACCATAGATATGTGTTAGGACATTGTGGATGTTACTGAAATGCAGGTGATACTTAGTAAAAGAATAATATTCAGAAACAGAGTATTCTGACTCAGTTCTGAACTTCACACCTGTCCCACCATTTTAGTTGTAATTGCTTCCACTAAATCCATTCCAAATTTTACCAGTAGCTGTTTAGAATCAGACTCCCTATTTTTTCAGTAAAGCACAATGATTTCTACAAGCACCCAAGAAGATAAACATTTTAATTATTACTAGTTCATTTGACAGTATAAAAAATACCAAAACTGTAGGACTGAAGCTCTGGCTTCCCTGAGTAATAAATTAAAACAAAACTAGAAACATGTAGAATAATTTATATTTTGCAAACTATTTGCAAGAAAGTTGACATTTAAATAACTTCATTATTATTCATTGACAGGGCTTTTTCCTCTCCTCCCGTCAGGGTAAATGACATTTCTATTACAGTATTATAATAAACTCCTGCACATTTTAAATAAAGTCACTGAATTCCATTAGTCCACCTACTGTCATGAATATATCTCAATCCATTCCTACCAATATTTCACAATTATAATAGGCATTCTGAATCAACCAGTAACACGAACCCTATGGAAATTTTCTTCTTTCTCAAGAAGCGCGGACTGAAAGTCAGAGGACTGTCAGTTTGAATATATAGATTAAATAAATTCCCTAGCAAGTTGCTGTTTACGCTCCTTTGTTAAAAATTTAAGGTTGTCTGTACTTATTTTACATAAGCTGCTGAAGACTTGAAGAATCAACCAGTTGATTGTTTGGTCAAGGTTTCTTTTGCAACAAGATCTTTCTGGAACACTCCATGAGAAAAAAGAAAAACATTACATGCAGACTTTAAGCTGTGTAACATCATGTCTCCTGCCTATTAGAGTGCAGCTTTCTTCCCATAAAAGATGTATGTTAACAGATGAAGTTTCTTATAACACACATCATTAAGAAGTAATCACTTTAATTGGTACCATTTACTATTTTTTTTTTCTTTTTCAGCCAGTTAATGCCTGGTTTTCACATATTAACGTGACTGTTTCCCCCACCTCCACCATGAGAAGACTGTTTATGTATCATGTCCTCACCCTCCTTCCTCCAGTTTAATTTGCTGCTCTAACTGCTGTCCGAGTGGCAGCCAGCCCTGGGAGGCAGGACCAGAAGCATCTGTAATGTGGTTAGGAAGCAGCAGAGCAGGGCAGCCTGTCACGACCAGGAGCAGTGTGAAGAGATGGGCTCTAGCCTGTTTCTCCTCCTGCACATGAATTCACCCCTGGCAGAAGTCAGGTATTTTAAGAAAGA